CTTGTTTGAGAGTAGGGAGGGGGTTGAAGAATGAAAAGGTGTTGCACTTTTGAGCCCTTGATTCAGATTGTTGTTTTGACAGCCTGCTTTCTCTCTCAGGGTTGCAACTTGGAATAAAAGTATGTTTTTCTAAACAACAATAACAAGTCATTGTATTATAGTTTTTAATTCCCTCCATAGATACTCTACCCCTTTTCCCTCTCTACTCCTACCCATTCTCTCTCTCTCTCCCACAACCGCTTTCAAAGGAACCCAGCAAAAAAAAAAGTTGGCCCTACTAAGCTGTAAATGCCCCGTAGCATATTTTTTCCCTTCCTTCCATCCATTGTACCTTCCCCCTACTTTTTCCCCTGCCTCATTTTGAGGGCTCTCCTTTTTCATTCTGTAATTTTCACCTCTCAAGCTTTCCCCTAAAGAGGTGGATTTTATTTTATTATATGTAATGTTTGATAAGTAACTAGCTGCATAGACGTTGCCTTCTCTTCTTTTTAATCTATTCAATTCCGTGGCATTCCACATCTTTCACGTGAGTAGCGGAGACCTAGTTTCTTTTGTTGCGAGTAGGTTACTCACAAACAATAATCTCCCCTAAATATATTATTTCCCTTCTAAATAGGTGTCCATGACGACAGTATTGATAGGGTGCAGAGAACTCCAAAGTGCCCTCCCCCCCCCCCTTGTTTTGTTAAGTCGGGTGAAGTTGTTTGACCAGACTATTTAACTCCCCGGGTTGATTGTTGACTGCCTAAACTGTGTAGAAGTAAAGCCAAAGATATGTATCTCAGTCTTATTATGACCGTGTAATTATAAAATGGAATTTCATCAGATCATACTCTTAATCAAACTTCTAATCATTGTGGGAAATTTTACTGTCTCTCTTTCCCCTTTTCCAAATAAAATTAAAAATACTCTATTGAACCTTTTTTTGTTAATGCATAGAAGAGATCTTTAGTGAATTTTTTTTTCAAGGCAACTTTGATTTTAACTTTTTGTACATTTCATTATTCTTTCTTTCTTTATTTCTTTCTTTCTTTCAGTCATGAAGAAAAGCATCAATGTATCACATATTCACAAGTCTCTTATACTTGTTGAATTGAATGCCTATAGATAGAGATCTTCATGTGTAACAATGTAAATGCTAGTTGTGACAGTGGTTACATAGCGCTGGAACATTTCTCTTTCAATCCGTCCTCTTTTCCTTTCTATCTATGATGAATGTATACCCCTGACTGTGAAGCGCTATCTAATTGATCAATAGTAATAACATCTGCATGTCATCAACTCTTCTCCTGTAGATATTTCATCAGTTTGATAACCATTCAAGAAAAACTTGATGACATTCTGACATCTCCAGTTTTGATTCTCTCTCCCTGGACCGGTGTGGTCTCACCCAATCTTTTCTCTTTCTGTCACAGAGGGGGCATGACGGGCATAGCTCCTGCGTGATTTTTCTTCTCTAAATACATATTTACTTTGCTAGAATATCCCTAAAGTGCATAAACCCCGTGAGCGGAGTTTTGGGGGTGTCCGTGTCGGTGAGTATCGTCTCAACAGCAGGGGGCGTCGTGTCACCGTACAATTACGGTCGTGCCCCACTGGGCAGCTGCCATCTTTGATTCTCCTACCGCGCTCTCTGCCTGCTTTTGCTTCCCCTTATACCCAATGTTCATTCCTGCACCTCTATGAAAACTGCTACCTTACCTCATCACATCACCCCCCCCCCCTTCCTGGACATCCCCACCCCTCTTCTGCTGCCATTCCCCCCTCCTGCTCGATCTTGAACCTCGCATGTTGTTCTTCAAAAGTCCACATGATCAAACATTGACTGAACGTCAATACCTCATCAAGAATGAAGCAAAATATTCACCGAGATCGAGGATCTATCATGTGGAATCATGTCTTCGATTCCGCTTTCTTGATCTGCTGCGAATAAAGTGCCATGACTTCTGTGACCAAAGAATAACATTGCCTGGCTGGCTGGCTGGCATGCATGCCATGCAGGGTAGCAAGCAAGCAAGCAAGCGCTTGTCTGCAAGTGTTTCTTTCTCTTACAGTGTGACTATGCATGCTCTACTTGTGTGAGTAGCTAGCCCTTCTCTCAATGCAAGCTGGGGCAGACGATAGTACTCTGCAACTCGCTCGCCTCGAAAGAAAAGAAAACTCGGTTTATTCATCCATCCATGTGTAAAATGGGCTCTCTTTTGTTGCAGTTTTGACACAGTAGGCCATATCAACAAAATCCCCCTCTTATCTTTTTCCCCTTTTCTCTCTCTTCTCTTTTTTTCTCTGACTGCCAGTTGGCACTTTAAAAAGTGGTTAGCTCTCCTTTCACACCTCTGTTCTGCATCTCATGTGTTCATAAAGTACCAGATGAATTGGACCCATTTTTGAGGACGAAGGGATGTTTTTCTTAGCTTTTTATGCTCTTCTCATTTCTTTTCTTCAAACCGATAGAAACAGGTCTGTTAATTGTGCATGCTCGTATGAGTAAGCAACATTGTGCATTTGCGTATTAAGGATTGCTGGGAAATCTTCATTGACAAACATTCAATCTCACACATTCTTCCAATCCCAACCCCCTGGTTTTTGTCACCCTTCTGTTTTCCTTCGCCAACTGCTTCTTAAAGACACCATACACTGGTAGCAGCAAGTTCTCCCTCCCTCTGAATGGCCTTTCGACCTGATTGTATTTCGCAATTAGGTGCCAAAGTCTACAATAACAGATTTTTCTCTCTTTTTTTCATCTCCATCTTAGCAAGTCCATGATCGGGCATATTATTGCAGGTGCAATACAGAGATGTTATGTCTACATTGTACTAAAGCAACAGTCTAGATGGATTTTATCCGCTTGGGTTTGATCAGAATTTGACACAAAATACCACCCTGCAGATCCTGTTAGAAATGCAAACATAATCCTTGATGGACGTCATACTACTTCCAGGAATATTTTAAACCACCCCGTATCATATATTCCATGTCATGTCTATGTCTTACAAAACATTAACCAAATACAAGCCCAAATATTGATATGTGACTTGGCAACTGCCTTGAAGAAATAAGTTGATTTCATATCAGGTAATGATAAATAGTTATTGATTCTGAAAAAGACCAGGTGCTGTCTATATTCAGGTTTACAATCAAGACTGATCCAAACCATTTCTGTTTATATTTGGAACCTTGTCATCAAAAAGATTCTTTGCTAACTCCAAATATATACATTGATCAAAACCGATTTCAGGTATGAGATGAAATGTGGAAAAACAAAAATCTCTGTAGTCCTTTCTAACGTTTGTAGGTGTGATGAACGTCATACACTGTTGAATGCAAACCAAGAGAGTGAGAGACATATGTTAGCTTTCCCCCTCATTTACAAGACCGTCCGCTATACACGATTTGCTGCAGCGGTTGAAAGCAGATGTGAAGCTGCTTTTGGTTAAAAGCGAAAGGTTGCATTTGTATGTTCCTGACCAAAGCAAGAATCATTCGTTTGTCAATATGACATTTGGATATCATCACTGCAGTTGCATTATGCAGGCACACACAGGAAACGGGTAATAGAAGGGGAGGAAAAGGGGAGGGGAGGGGGTGTCGAGAAGAGGATGAGGAGTGGGAGAGGGGTAATAAGGGATGGGGGAACCACCAGGGTGAAAGAGGAATGGGGGTGAGGGGGATGATGGAAGAAGGAATGACAGAAGAAAACAGAGTGGAAGAATAAATTTTAACATTCTCACTGTGAGGCATGTATAAAAGGACAGGATGAGAGAGAAAATAGAAAGTGAGATGTGAAAGATGATGAGGAAATATGAGAAGGTCAGTCAGAGTCCAATATTTTGGATTAAGAGAGTGTGGAATAAAAATTAAAAAAGGGACAGAAAGGCAGATAGGTGCCTCTGATTGTTTTGTAATGAAGCTCTTGAACGCTTTCTACGGGGGGAAGTTGAAATATCAAGGTGTGGAGATATGCTGCAAATGGAAGATGTGATGATACTGCTAATGCATGATAAAACATTCAAGACATAATTCAGGCTCGCAAAGTGCCTTTACAGAAGCATCCAGAAAAAGACTCGCACATTAGTTATCTGTCCATATCATGCAGTTGTCTCGTCAAACCCATAGCCTTAACGTGTGCACTTACCAGCCGACATCCACTCTTAACAAGAAATTTATTGCTCTACTTTTCTTTCCTCCCCCACCACTGCTCATATTTTGGAAGGAGACGTATTGATGTAGCTTTTAAAAACAGCAAATGTAGCGGGAGCTAGAAGCTGGACTTCCTGACCAAGTATTAGCTAGATTGGGCTTTAATTTGATGAAATAGAAATGCCGAAATGCCCATCTAAAGATTTGTGGACGCAGGAATGGTCTGGTGGGACATCATTTTTGTCTCCCCCTAGTCAGTGGCTTGTGAAGTGTAAAGGGTTCATAACCTACGCTGTCTGGGTATATGTCATCTACTTAGAGCCATAAGGGCATTAACACTATATAGAATGAGTTGAGATAATGTCCTTCTGATTTTCAGCAGGGGATGTTGATTCATCCTACAGCATATGTTTCCATTTCCGTTGATTTCATCAATTATCATAGAAGAGTGTTTATGAAAACTGCGTTGTTTATGTCCCAAGACTTTTACCCTCATCAGTTTTATTTTTTTTCTGTTGACTCGCATTTCTGTGTTCACACGTTTGGGAAAAAATGGAAAAGAATGTGTAGAAATATTTAGGGGCATTGAACTAAGTTTTCAATCAAAAGTTAGTGTATTGTATGCAGATTATGCTTTTTCATATCTGCCATGAGATATGTGTGAATTAAAAATTAAGCTTCTGCTTTATGTATGTCTTTCTTAGTGCGTATTGTAATACTTGTCTGTTGTGGCTTGTCTACAAATTCAGTGTTATCATACTCCGTGGCAGAATTTTATGTCTGCATTTCTTTCAAACTGTCTGTACCCTCCTCACAATTGATTATATTAATCATTGATTGACTGATTAAGTAACCCATCCTATTTTTTTCTTTATCTTTTATCCAGGTTTGAGAAAATGTCGGTGGACTACTCCAAGCAGAAGTGCCTGGTGTGCGGCGACAAGGCAAGCGGTCTGCACTACACGGTGGTCTCGTGTGAGAGCTGTAAAAGTTTCTTCGGTCGCAAGATCAAGAGTAAGGCAAAGTTTACCTGCGAAGCCAATGGAAACTGTGTGATGGACCTCTACACCAGGCGGCACTGCCCGGCCTGCCGACTCCAGAAATGCCTCGATGTGGGCATGAAACCTGAACGTAAGTCTTAGTACAGATTGTTGGGCGGAGGTGTTTGGATGAAAGGGTGTGGGTAGATGGAGAAAGGAGGTAGGAGCTCACGGAAAATACTTTTATAAAAAATAGGATTTAAAAATCATGCAGTAGCTTGTAATGAAAACATCAACAATCACCAAGTTACAAGTAATTCCATAAACTACCAGAGATGTATGCAAGGAAAACTGGTTACAGAATGAAAAACCAGCCTTGATGGAGGAAAAGGGCACATTTGTTGACGACAGGCTCTATCATTGCCAACATGTGAGCTCAGTGAATTGCAAAAGGAATAGATGACATAAAGGAACAAATAAAAATGTGGAATTTAATCAACACTCGCCAGCTCATGGTGTGCATCACTGTTTATCTAAACCATATTGCATTCAGAGAAATAGAAGAAGGAAAAAAACAAACTATAACTAAGAAAAGGAGGGTTTATTTTAATTCCGGGCTGCACAAACAAATACACTGCGGCAGAGCTCAAACGGAGTGCTGCATGCTGCATATATTCGCTGTCTGCAAAAACACACCAGAGGCAATAGAGAAAGCTAGTGAAATTGACCCAACGAAAAAAATAAAAGAGTTGCACATGGCATTTGAATAGAAGAGAAAGTGAGATGCAGAGAGAAAGAGAGAGAGAAAGAGAGAGAGAGAGAGAGAGAGAGAGAGAAACAGAGAGAGGGGGAGGAGAGGCGAGTAGGAGAGAGAGAGAGAGAGAGAGAGAGAGAGAGAGAGAGAGGGGTTGGAGAAAATGAGAACGGGGAAGAATATGTTATAGAAAGTTGATGAGGGAGGTGTAGTCTTGAGATAGCAAATTAGCAACGCAGTAATTGTAGTGTATGAGGTAAAAAGTGTTCAGAGCTAGCTTTGAAAGAAAAAGAAGATAAATGGAAACATATCAGTCTTTAAAGGGAGTGGAGTCTAGATGAAAGATTCATTGAAAAAGAGAGATGGGGAGAGACAGGCAAAGAGTGGTACATATAGAGGGAGAGAGAAAGGATAGAGACAAATAGACAATTAAAAGGAATGGAAGATAGGCCAAACTATTTTAGAAACTTAATTAAAGGAGGATTTAGGAGTGGAAGCAAAATGAGTGAAAGCGAGTTGATAGCAAGAAATACAGCAAAAGTTAGACAGAGAGACAGAGAGAGAGAGACAGAGAGAGAGAGACAGAGAGAGAGAGGGGGAATATAGTACATGGAGAGTACATCGTAGCATTCTCCATTTCATGATTGAGCAGAAAATACATGCATATTGGTAGGACTGAGAGACTGTATGCTGCAATGGAGGGGTATATAATTGCAATCGGAGGAGGCGGATCTACCGAACAGGCTGAAATCGTGCAATAATCAATGCTACACTGCCCAGAGAGATGGGATAGTGGGCTTTCATAATTGAAGATGCTGCATGAACGTCAATATTTTACCAATTTGTGTCATGTAGTCTGTTTCCTGCTATCATCTTTAATCTAAACCACTCCAGTTTCTTTTGGAGGGGAAAATCTATATTATTCCCTCTCTCCTCTCTCCCCATATTGCATATTTTTTTTCGTCTCGTCTCCCAGCACTTGGTGTATGAAGAAAGGTCATAGTTCAATAGATTGTGTGTTATGTGTTGGATTCAGCTAGCCTGGTGGAGCTGCGCTAGCTCTCCCTGATATTTGAAACATCTGTGGCAAACATATTTGGTTACTGTAGCAACAGGAGTCTGGCTGATCAAGTTTTTTTACTCATTTTTTCCTTCTTCTGGTGTGACGCCCACACCATTCTTGTTTTTCCTTGTAGAAAATCAAAGCAAAACTATCTAAAAGATCATGCAGTCTTGAAAGTAAGGGGTGAAAATTAAGGATGGACACGGCTTCTTTTACGTAACACCTAACTCACTAATCTTGAATAGAGCATCAATCAATCTCTTCACTAAAATTCTAACTTTTTGGGGGGGGGAGGGAGGTTGGAATTCGACTTTCATAAGATTTCATTTTTGCTGAGTGCCAAAAGGATGCTAATCTATGCCAATTGACAAGTAAGGTCTTTCTGCCTCTCAGCTTAAATATTGCTTTAGTTTAAAGAGACTCTTAGTAGCATTTTCAATCAGAAAAACTTAGTCACAGGAAGACTTCTCCACACATATGTATTTAAATGGGGTAGTATCGGCAGCTAAATCCATGTAATAGCAAATTTGCACAGTGTTGCTTTAATCATATTATGAAGGCATTCCAAAGAATTCTTTGTTTTCATTTTCTTTCTACTTGGTAATTCTTCTAGATCTACTACCTTGCCCCCCCCCCCCCCTCACATAACGAGATGATTCTGTACTGCCCCTCCCTAATGGTTTACTGCCATTCAAGTTCTGTCAAATCTAAATTACAAGTTAATGACCCCTCTAGCTGTAGACCAGACTCAACCAATAAACCACAACAGTTGCTTCTCCAGATTTGACCTTGATCCAGGTCAACTTCACCAAATTCTCGCCTGTTCCCATGACAACAAAATAAGAATTTTACAAGGGGCTGTGGACAATGGTTCGAAGTGATCAGTGCAATTTATAAGTGTTCATTCCTGATTTTCACCCATTTTGCTGTGTGCTGACATCTGCATTTGTCATTATCTTTAAGAGGATATGTAATGTCGTAAGTCTACAGGAACTGGGAGATATTTTGAGAATTTCATAAGGATGTGGTTATAATGCATATATGTCTTTCACATTTACATTTAAATATACAGTATGTTACGGAAAATACGGAGATGTTATTATGAGTAGCTATCATGATATAAGTCATGCATGTGAATTGATAAATACGTCACACCTTTGAAGATATATTCAATCAGGCTGCTTCACATGTGATCATCATTGTTATCCCTAAAGCTGAGTAATTGATTAATTGTAATCAGTTCGCGTGAAGTCGCACTACGCCTTCCCCAAATGCGCCCTGCGGGTGATTTGGGAAGGAGCTGAAAAATTACATGAAGGGAAAAACTGAACGCCTCCCCTCAAATCTGTCGGAATCTCACGACAGCGAGATTAACGACAATTATCCATCATGGTAATGAGTCAATTTCCATCCTGCTCCCATCCTCCTCCATGTCTTCCTTGCCTCATCACTCATCCATCACCATGGTAACAACCTCATTGCCTTTAAAGGTCCAATCAGGCGATCCGATGTTGATGCTTTGTAAAGGCCGGCTGGTTGCGCCCTAGATAAAAGTTAATCCGTTTGAGACTGCTTCACTTTCATTAACATGTACTGGACGTTATCCTGTGTTCTTTCTTGCTTTTAGACTTTAATGGGTCAAAGAGACAATTACATTGGAAAACATGGATTGATTGCCCCTAATAGTTTTTTTTTATTTATGGGTCTTTCGTTCGTCCATTAAGATTGTTGTGCTCTTATATTTGTGTTTAATGGGGCCTATAGTTTTTGTGTTTTTTATCTTTCTCATTCCAATGATCATCCAGCCCCTTTCTTGCCTTTTAATACTCCTTTTCATTTAGTCTTGTACCCTGAGCATCTTTTACCTCTCTTTCTTCTCTTTCCTTCTCTTTCCCTCTCTTTCCCTCTCTTTCCTTCTCTTTCCCTCTCTTTCCCTCTCTTTCCTTCTCTTTCCTTCTCTTTCCTTCTCTTTCTCCCTTTTTCCTATTCTCCTATTATCTTTTTGTTCTTCTATTATCTGTCGACTACTTTTCTTTGGGGAGCCATTGCTTGTGCCGAGATCTGTTTTGTTCTTCTTTGTGAACACGATTTATTGAGCTACTAAACACTGCTCATAGTACAATAGCACAGGTTGTTACAGTGTTAATTCTAATAGGAAAGTAGAATCTTTACAGTCTACAGTAATGGAGCAATGGGGAGGACGTGACATTGGAGTCATTTGATTGTTTTGAGGAAGAACACGTTTGGCTGTTTCAGTGAAAAGAAACACTTGGCAGGCGAAGGGGCCCCATGATTCTAATTAATCAGCGGATTTGAGCAGTCGCTTGTGGAAGGTGTTGCCAATTCATGGTCATTAAAAGGGTATTACGAGCTCATTTGCCGAAGAATTGATGGTTTATTGCATCATAAAAGACTGCGGTGTGTGTGTGTTCGGCAGTGTTTAGTCAGGGTTTAGGAAAGGTTTCTCATAGATTGAGAAATGATTAGTATTGATGAGGAGGAGGAGGAGGAGGAGGGGAAGGAGGAGAGTAATAGTGATGATGATGAGGATAGGGATTAAACCATGTTGTGATATAGAACCGTTCATGTATATGAGTATATGAGTATATGATAACATATAAGAATTTGAAGGAAATTTAATGTAAAGGATTTCTGAAATTGTATTGCATTGTTATCAGCTTGTATGATTAGATCATATACATTGCTTTGAAGGAATTATTCTATAATGTTAATTGACATTCTGTTAGTTAAATGATTGAATGATAGGTTCATTAGGCTGAGTGTTTTCCTATGAGGAAGCTTCAAGTGGGAATTGTTACACGTTCATTGATGACATTCACAATTAGCTAAAAGTGAACATGCGTACAGACAGAGCAACAACGTAGAGACCATGAATAGAAAACCAAGGACCATAACAACAACAAAAAAGGTCGAAAACTTCAAAGAGACAAGATTCTTGAGCAAAAGTGCAGGGGAGGGTTCACTAGCATGTAAGAGAGAGTCATTTATATTAATGTATTTAACTGGGGCAGTTGAGGAGCTAGGCTGGCGGTTTTCTTGCTGCTAGCGATGCTAATGTTCCCGTTACATGGGGCATTGAATGACAGCGCGGTGTGCGTACTACACTCAATCAATCCCTACCTGTAGATCTTTATTTAGCAATTTAAGGATAGTGGAGATTTCAGCCCCTCGCGCCGTAATCGTATGTCATGTGGAGGCAAGCCCACCCCCCCCCCCCCCTCGTCGGAAGAAGATGGTTGGGAGGATATTTGCAGTGGATACACGTAACGTGAACAGACCTGTCGAATATGTGTTTGTGTAAAGGAGGGGCGCA